CCCAGTACATCTCGATGACATTGAACTCGCAGTGAAACTTGGGCAGAAAGAGAGCGACGTGCCCAGCAGCCTCAATGGTTTCTTCAACGCAGCCCTTCTGGGACGTGAAGTCGGGCTGGGATCCGAGGAGGTCCTTCGCCGTGTCGAGTCTGAGGCTGGCGCTTCAAAGGCCCCGCTCCTGGAGTACGATCCTGATACCCTTGGGCGTTTCGTCGGGAGCTTTGACCAGCGACTGCGTGACACGCACGCCATCCTTCTCGTATCAGCCGTCGCGCAGCTTGGGTTGCTTGCCGCCGGGGTTGAGGTTCATGTTTGACGTATTGAGCGCGTCGGCAGAAAAAGCACCATGGTTGGTGCTGTTGTCGAACAGAAAGACACCGACACAATCGGGGCGCAGGGCCTCGAACACAGTAAGCATCTGGTGCCGACGTACGCGGCTCGCTTGCGCTGCGCAGCCTTGTCATCGTGCGCGATGGTCCAAACGACTGGAGTCTCTTCTTCATCTGGACCTTCTTCACGTGGACCCTCGTCGACGTTGATGTTGCCTGTGACCATGAAGAAGTCTTCGTCCTCTGCGTTGTCGTCCTCCGAGTCGTCGACCTCGATGCCGTCGTCAAGAACGGTCTCCTCCTGCTCCAGGGGTGGGCCTAGATACAATAGTCCGTTGTAGAAAGTTACCCTAGCGCAAAGTACCTTGTGCTGCGGAGACGGCCTCAGCACGGTCCAGCTTTCGGGCCTTGCGTGCGTGCTCCAAGTGCAGGACTCGTTTGGTCTTCCGAGGCATGGAAATGGCTGAGTGAGCTCGTTATCCGGATAATGACACCTCATCCGGCGCCGGTGGGCCTTATCCGGAGGGGCTCCATGTTATCCGGTCAAATTTATGTAACAATTTCGGACCCCTTGGTCCTGTGATGCCCAACTTTGAACGCCCATAACTTCGTCAGTTTTTCATTTCATTGCGATCGGCTCTTATACGTCTCTTCGTCTTGGACAGAACAGTCGATTTATAACGTCCTTTTGATATAAAAATGAAGACTCAGAGCTGGGATTCAAAAGTTTTGGACCACATTCATCTGGAAGGGTACAGGTGGCGTGCACTGTAGTAGTCGTCGTCTCTCATCCACGTGGCATTAAATTTAAATTTGACGTCTTCAAAGACAAGCAAGATCGCGAAAAAGCCGTTTCCACCTATCTTCATCAGCTGCGTGGGATAGCCGACTCGAACTATCCGATCAAGAAGAGAAAGGCAACATGGCAAGCCGTCCCGAGCGCTGCGCCTTGGTCCTTCGCTACGAGAGCCAGCGCCGCGAGCTCGCGGTCGGCCTCGACACGACGCTCCTCGACGTGCGCATTCTCGCCGCGCACCTCTTTGAGCTCGCGCTGCCCACGAGCAGCAAGGAGCTGCCATGGGACCTCACGTACGAAGACAACGAGGGCGACGAGGTGCATTTGACCAACGACATGGAGCTCCAAGAAGCGTTTACGATGCCATCGCTCACGATAGCAGTGCATATGAAGCGGAATCTGCTCGAGGCGACCATCAACGAGCACGTGCTTCCTGCCGTGCAGTCGTCGTTGGCAACGGTGGCCGACTGGTTCACGCAACTCAGTCACGACACGCCCGAGACGACGTCGGTGCCACGCCGGCGGGACCGCGCCGAGTCCGAGACCGAGTCCGAGTCGGACGACGAGCTCTAAGTTGGTGCTACATGTACAAGAATGGCGTGTTTTCCGAGATGCATTATCATCTTATGTACCACATATACACACACACGACACGTATCTACTACCATGCAGGCCGCGCGTTCTCTAATCCCTTGGGTCTTCTATATCCTTGCTTCGTCGTGGTCGTCTCTTCTCTAGTCAGTGTCTAATGGTGGCCGTCCGCGAGTTCAAACTCGGGCGCCATGCCCTTCTTGTGCACCGAGACGACTTGCTGGAGCCAAATGCGCGTCTTGTAGATCGCAAAGAGGTCGCGCACGAGCTCGCGAAAGTCGATGCGCCTACGCAGCCGCTCAGATCTCAGTGGTCGTAGCGGACAAGGCGTACCGGTCCGCCTCGAAGAAGAACGTGAGCTTGTGCCGGTCAAATTGATACTCGGCGTCAATGACGTTCATGGGCAGCATGCGCTGGCGCACCTTGCTGCGGCAGACCTGCAGTACTTCCTGCTCTTCCTTGTGCTATTTCACACGAAACTGAGCAATTCGACATCGAATAGGATCGGTCTACCTGCTCGCGCAAGAGCGTCAGCTCGTTCTCGCTGGCGAGACGCATGACGCGCTTCATCGGCGCAGGCTCTTTGCTTTCGCTGTCGTTCGTGCTGCGTAGCGTCTTGGCGTCGGGCGCCATGCGGATGACGTGGCCCACGTCTTCGCCGCGATCGCCTTCCACCTGCGGCTCATGAGCCCTTTGCATAGAAGGGCGTTTTGACTACCTTGACGTAGTCGCCGAGCTTGAAGCCGCCAAGACCGGAAAAGACATCCTTGCGGCAACGCTTGAACTGCACCTCGTAGTACGCTTCGGGCATGTACTCGGCAAAGTTGTTGCTGTTGCTGTTGCCGTTGGTGGCCGTGGCAGTTGGGTTGCCATAGTACGCTCCTGCGTCGGGCGGCAGCGGCGGTGCAAAGTCGTTGGGGCGCTGCCATTCGGCGTACTGGTTCCCAGACTGCTTGGTCGGGAGCGGCGGCTGCCGCATGTTTTGGCGCAGCATCGGGCTGCGCGTCACCGCGTGGTACGGGCTGCCCATCGACGGCGGGCGTGGCATGTGGGACGAGCTTGTGTGGCACTCGATGCTATGCGACCGAATGCCCCGATTGCCTGTCGGCATGGGAGGCGGCGGCGGCAAGAACGACGACGACGACGATGCAAGGTCCATCGAGCGGTGACCATAGTGATCAAAGTCACCCGAGTAGCGGCGCATGTTGAAGTTGGACACGGACTGCATGGGCGCCGCTTGGTACGGCGTCGGCGGCAGCTGCAAGTGTGGCAACGGCGGCGGAAGGTTGTTGTTGCTCAAGCCCAAGCCATCGTGGCGCTCGCTGCTCCACGCCGCGGCATGGTGCTCGTGGGCGTAGATGGCCGAGAACGACTTGGCGCGCATGCGGCGCGCCTTCTCGGTCGCGTGTTGCTTTTCGCTCAAGAGCGGGATGCCCAACGGACTGTGGTCGCCGTCGTTGTCGTCCTCGTCCACGTCGTCCGTATCGGGAATCGACATTTGCCACGACGGCCACGACGTGGGGTTCACGGCCGCCGTCGCTTCGGGGCTATTGACCATCGACGGAATCGGCGGGATCGTCGCGAGCGGCGACATGCACAGCACGAGCGGCGAGCCGGCGCGGAGCTGCTTTTGCGTCGGCGTGCCGATCGCAATGGGCTTGGGCCGCGCGCTGTCTTCGTCCACAGGCTCTTCCAGCTTGAGCGCAAGCACGCTCGAGTTGAGAAAGTCACTCCACTCCTTCTGCGAGGCCATCGTACTGTCGTCGTCGCCGCCGTCGATTACGGGCTCCTTGGCGCGCAGGTCCTCTTCTTGGTTGTCGATGATGACCACCGGGTGGATGGGAAAGGCGGGTAGGTCCGTCTGCATGACCATCGAGGTGCGAGATGCAAGCGGATCGGCAGCTTCAGTCGTCGCGATCGTCCGCAGAGACGCGCAACTTGCAAATATTGCGCCTCAAGCGCTTCGCTTTTTTTCCGTCGGCAATGAATTTACGCGGAACCAGATGCAATTTAATGCGCGCTTCCTTCTTTTTCACTTGGTGTTTGTATGTCGTGCCAGCTGGGAGGAATAAAATACCACGCCACTCGCCAAGGCCCGTTAAATCCGAAGAATATAATGAGATTGACAAGGCTGCTTCTTTCCATACAAACACCAAGTGATGGCACCCGCGGCTGCCGGTTCAAGGTTCGAAATATCCAGTATACTGTGGCGAGGTATCACACGCCAGCACGGCGGGCGACGCCAAGAGTGGGCCACGTCGAGAGCGACGGGGAGAACCAGTTCTGGTCATGGGTGCCAAGCGCTTCAACATTAGGACGCGGCCACCGCCGCATACAAAAAACAAGAGCAACGAAGGGGCCTGTCCCATTCCGGTTGCCGATCCACGTTGTCCGGATGGTTCCGAGCCCTGATTCCAGTGTCCGGCCAGGATATCAGTACGTCAGAAGGGTTTCCGGTAGGACATGTCCTAGTTGAAGTTGGGTACGCGTGACGTGGCAAGACGATGACGACGCGGCGCGCGGTCGAGTCATCCATGGGCATCCATGGCATCCACGTCGAGAGGAGACAGGCATGTGGAGGAGGCGCGGGGGTGGACAATGCTAGTATGAAGCTGCGAGTAGGGTCTACGCAGTGGGCGTTACGACGGCAGTTAGTACGTGGACACCACGATATGGGCAGCGGATGCACCACGCCCACCAAGCCCGTGCTCGAATGGCGACGCGCTGACGTCGGCGACTTTGCTTCGCAGGCCATCACTGACGATGCGACGCGCCAACTCGTTCTGGAGTGGATATCTGCCAATGGTACACGCTGCAAGCATAGTGTTCGGCCTGTTGCATCTTGAGTAGACGTGAGCGGGAGCCAGCTCCTCGACATGGAGCCCAGCATGGTCGTCACCGCGCTGCAGCTGCACGGACCCACTACGGAGATGGTAGCGCGGCTAATTGTGGATGTAAAGCAGCGCGCGGCGCAAGGTACCCACCCATGACGAGGATGATACTACCGGCGGCGTAGAGGCCATGGCACCCGAGATCCGCACGACGCTCAAAGACTTGCCCGCCGCGTTGGAGAAGGCCGTCTATGTCTACGAAAAGTACCCACTCGTCGTGGATCACACGGGCGGCCAAGCAGCCCAGTTCTTCAAGTACCAGCGTGGCTGCTTCCTCCTTGCGGGGAATCCACTGGACATGACCGAGGCGTCGTTGCGGCGCCACCTTGTCGGTAGGGTCCGACAACACTTGTGCAGCGATCGCAAATGCCTTTGTAGCGGCGCTTCGCCTCGGTTCGCTCATGACCATCTGCTTTGATAAGCTCACGGGGCTCGAGCTCGACACGTACTTTCTGGACGGCGCGTTTCCGCACCAAGTGCTCGATCGCGCGCAGTTTTTCAAACCCGAAGTGTGGTCGACGCTGCTCCGCAAGGTAACCTCGTGTAGCATCATGAACTATCGCATAGGACGTTATTGTCGCCTAGGAAGAAGGCGACCCCGAACCCAACCTCTTTCTTCCGTGCGATGCGTTCAAGTTTGCATTGCTCTACGGTGCGGTCGAGCCGCCACCCCGGACGCGCCAGCGCATGTGCCTCGTGTCGGTGCTCCCGCCGGACGCGCTCGCCGCCGCGAACGACGGCGACGACCCGGTCGCGTCGGCGCTTGGCCTCAAAGAGGTACGTGGTCGTAGATGGGATGCCGGCGACGCACTCACTGTAGGTGCGGCGCAACAGCGTCGACGTTGTCGAGGCTGGCTTTGACGGCGATATTGCCGCACTTGACAGCTGGCTCGAGAAGGGATACCACCTCGAAAGCGAAGACGGACACAAACACACGGCGCTCTCGGAAGCCGCGTGCCAAGGCCACGATGAGATGATTGCGCATCTCTTGGCGCTCGTAGTGCCCTTTAGTCGATCGTCCAAGCTTGCATATCCTGGCTTCTAGGGTGCTAATCCGAATGCGCGCAACGATGCGGGGCGGTCGCCACTCTTCCGGGCGGCGTACAACGGTCATTTAAATGCCGTCATTGCTCTGCTGCACGCCGGCGGCGACCCACGGTGCACGACGCAGCAAGGGTATCTCCCAATAGATCACGATGCATCACCATCAATATCCATTGCGTGTGGTAGCGAGCGTGCGTTCGACGTGGCAAAAACCAAGGACATCGCTGCCGTTCTCAGCGAGTGGAACGTCGAAACGACGGAGACACTCCTGCGCGAGCGCAACGAAGTAGAGAATGCTTAGAGAAGCTTGACGGGACTCCTGCTTCATTTGGTGGTTTGCATTAGATTATGGAGAAGAAGCTCCAGGAGCGCCTCACGAGTCATGTCGAGCGCGAGCAGCTGGCCATGCTGCGCATCCACCAAGATCTGATTGCGACGGCGTCGTCGACCGCGAGTACGGCGGCTGAAGCCCTCAAAGAAAAGCTTGCCGCACTCGGAAGCGAAGCCGTCGAAACCGAGACGCGACCCCGGGGTACGCTGCGTTCGTTGCTCGAGCCTACCCTAACCCCAACACGGCTGCAGGGACCGCCGACGTCCGCGACGAGCGCGGCGCGACCCTCTTGGCTCTTACTGCCCAATATGACAATGCAGAGAGTGCAACTATGCTCCTTACCTTTTGGAAGGTTGGTGCTGCGGATAGAGAGCCACTAATGACGCATAATTGTTTAGGCGTTTCAAGACGAGAGTCATCCGATGCTCCGCGCCCACAAGCGTGCGACCGCCGTGCAAGAGGTGTACACCAAGGTATTCAAGCCCAACGTCAACGCCCGCGACGCCAAAGGCTGGACACCTATTGCAATTGCGATCTTCCATCAATCGAAACGCGTTGCACGGCTGCTTTTGGACCACGGCGCCAACCCGCGCTTGAAAAACCAGGTAGCACTCGGTTTCGTCGCTCACGACGGATGCCTCGTGGGTAGTACAACAAGGACGCGTTCGACCTTGCCCAGGACGACATGGACGCGGCGCTCAACGTCGTGACTAGCAAAGCCGAGGTATACACTTGCGATAGAAAAACATGGTGCGACCCTCCGACTAGATTCGCAGTGTACTCCTGGACTGGGAGTCGGCGCAACTTCAGAGCACGTTGGAGAACCAGCGGTGCAAAGGCGCGGCTCCGATTGACCCGCTCCCAGCTGACGGTGGCGCGACGCTTCTAGCGATTGAAGTCGCCAACGAAGCGCACGCCAAGGCGATCAAATCCAAATCTCCCAAGAAAAAACTGGCGAAAAAGACCAAAAAATAACATTTTGGCCATCATTACTATAGTCCGCTCACGACAAATTTGTGTTCCCCGGGGTTTTGTGTACGTCGATGGAAATATCAATCGACCGTTCGGGTTTTAGGGCCACGACCGTGCATCGGTGATGTTTATCCCATAGTTGACGGTTTATTCGAAGATTGATCGTACTTTATCCACTTCGTTGAATTATGATACGAATTGGATAATGTTGTCTAGTGGCCCACTCGACAGGCGTTTCTGTATGCAACGATTGTCATTTTTGGGGATGTTGTCTTATTAATTAGTGCTAATTCCTAGCGGCTGCTTCTCGATGCGAGTCTCGACGCGACACATTCAAAAATCCTAACTATGCCGCGGACGTCGTGCTGGCCTCGTCGCTGCCGTCGGCGTCTGCAAAGTCTTGCTCGACCGCGTCAAAGAGCAAGCTCAGATCTGCGTCCATGAGGTCGTGCGTACCCAAGAGCAAGCCGTCGGCAAAGCTGCCGCTCTCTTCGTCGCCAACGAGGAACTCGAGCTCGTCTACAACGCTGCTGCTCATGGAGTTGACACTGTCGCTTCGCCCACGGTGCTGCATCGGCGACGACGACTCGACGGCTTTGGCGAGGTCGTTAAAGTTGAAATGGGCATCGTCGATGCTGTCGCTGGTCGACGGGGCAGGCGACGACGATGCCGTCTCGCTCATGTCGTCGCAGCAGTCGTCGTCTTGGAGCGACTCTGCCGACGTGCCGTTGGCTTGCTGCTTGGAAAACCAGTTTTTGCGCGCGCTCGAGTTCCAACGGTTCTTGATCGCATTCTCGGTGCGGCCCGGAAGGAGCTTGGCGATCTCGCTCCATCGGTTGCCCATGCGCTGCTGCGCACGGAACATGACTTCATCTTCCATGGCCGACCACTCGCCCTTGTTGATGTCGGGGCTGAGACAGTTGCGCCAACGCTCGCGGCACTGCTTGCCGGTGCGGCCCTGAATGTGGTTGGCGACGTCGGCCCAGCGAATGTTGCCGACGCCGAACTTGAGCATGAGCGACCGGAGCACGTCGTCCTCCTCGGCACTCCACGCGCCTTTCAAAAGGCCGGGCTTGAGGACCTTGTTCCAACGGTGCAGACACTGTACGTCGGTCTTGCCCGTGTTGAGCATCATTGCGACTTGCTTCCAGTTCTTTGTGCCAAGGTTCTTGATGGCTTTTCGGAGCTGCTTGTCTTCGCGCTCGCACCAACTGCCGGGGTGCACAACGGGGGCGCCAAGCAGCGCGTGGTGATGATGGTGGTGGTGGTGTTGCGGGTCGAGGCCGTCAAACATGCCCGGGTACGGCGGCATCTGCAGCCGGCGGTAGCCCATGAGGTTGTCCATCGCATACATGTTTTGGGCCATGTCCTGGAGCGACGGCGCCGGCGGTATGCAGTTCGAGAGGTCAAACGTCGGCGCGGTCGTGGCATCACCGAGCACCTCGAGCGTCGCGTCGCTATCAAAGGGCGCTGGCGACATGCTGTCGTTGTACTCGGGCGAATGCGAGAGAAAGTCGAGGCTCGAGTCGGGGAGTTCGTCAAACTCGGTCGAAGTTGGTGTCGCGGTCGGCGTTGGGGTAAAGCACGGCTTGGATGAAGCTTTCGGTGTGAGCGTCGCCGGAAAGAGCGCACTCATACTGCTCTTCTCACACGACAGCGGTGTGTTGTCGGGCACGAGAATTTTAAACGGCACTATGATGCAAGTATGATACAATGCACGCGTCGCACTGTGTACCTTGGCGCAGAAGGCTCACGCTCTTGGGGTAGGCGGGCTCATCGTACGACATGCTGCCGTTGCCGTAGTTGTGACGCTTGGGGCTGTTCGTCGCCGCAAAGCTGTCGAGGAGCAACCCCATCGCATTGGCATCTTCAAACCCGGCCTTGGACACGCGGCGCTTCGGGGACGGTCTAAGCCAGGAGCGTGAAGAGAAGCACTAAGATCGTAGATGATCGTACCTCGCATCACAAGACGACATCTTTGCTTGCGTTCAAAACCCCAACTGCAACTCAAATGCGTTGGCTCGCGATGGCCATCGCGCTAAAAATAGAAGCCGCATTGCGCCTATGAAACACAAGGCGCGATATTCGACGGAAGCGGATTGGTCAGCTATATTTATACGCGATATGAGTGGCTCGTAAAAATGAATGCGATACCTTGGGTTTGTATGGGCTATTTTTACGCCGTCATCGCGTTCTTCGCGCGGGCGGAGATCGCCATGGTGTCGAGTCGATCATGGCGTCGACTAACTAACTACTCGCGTACTGTGCAGTGAGAGCGAACGGACGTGCTTTGGCGCACGATAAACGTAGCCGACAACTGTCCGTCCCGCTGCCCCTCACGAGGCCCTTGCTGAGAAGTAGGGACGACGGCGTCGAGGCAAGACGCCGAGATGGCCCAGTCGGCGGTTTTAGTAGGTGCTAGAAACACTGCTCACAACGACTTCGCGCCGCCTCTGCGCCACGTGCTCACGCCTTGAACAACCCAGTGATGTGCTCCTTTGAAGGTTCTTCGCACCGACCAGCCGTCGACGCTAGCTGTGGCTTCAAGCCATATTGCGCGCGGCACATTCGCGTTGGCTCAGTACGACTAAAGCTCACTGCATCGACTGTAGTTTGGAAGAAAGCGATGCGCCCTTTGTGGTCGAATTTGATGCAACTTGCCCTTGCAGTTTCATTGCTCCGGATACGATGACACGGCTATCCGAACTATCATACCGAAGCGGCAAGATGGAGACAGCGCGGCTCGTGGCATTGGTCCATGGCCTCGCGTATGGCGCGGCCTTTCTCCTCGCCGTAGTTTCCGTAGCGTACCTGCGGCAGCAGCGCTCCACAGCGTGGCGCGGCAGCTCTGGCGCAGCGCGGAGGCTCATCTTGCCGTCGTTCGAGCCCATGCTCTGGGGCTTTGCGGCCGTCTCGGGCATGTACGCCACGTATTTTTGCGTGACGCTCTCGTGCGGCTACGCGGGACCGGGACCGGGGCCCTATGCGTCCGTGTACAACGAAGCGATCTACCACGGCGAGCACTTTCACGTCGTCTTTGTCGCCTTGTTTCTCTATCAAAAGAGCGTGTCGGCGCCCGCGATCTTGCGGACGTTGGTGCTCACGCTGCTGCTACTCGTGTCGCCCATTGGGCTCATGGGCCTCGCGAGTGCACTGCGCACGAACCCCGACACGGACGCCTATGTCTTTCAACTGCAGTACGCGATCGCCGTACTCGCGCGCTTTGTCCTCGTCGTCCTCTTCCTCCGACTTGCGTGCCGGCCGCTTGCCCGCGCCAACACGACCGTGGTGCGTGAACTCGGTGTCTTTGCGCTCGTCTTCTACGCCCTCGGTGCTATCTCCACGCAGCTCTCGTATCACGCGACGATCGAAGCGAAGCCGCACCTCGCGACATGGAGCTTGTACGTGCTCATGACGCGCGCGTGCTGGAGCATGCTCGCGCCTTTCTTTATCTGGCGCGTCCTCATCGCTGACACGGCGCACTGGCGCGGGCTCAGCGTTCGCGCACTGCATCTTGATACGCAGCGCGCCAGTATGCAAGAGGTCATGTCGGCCGAAGGACTCCACATCCTCCTTGAGATGCACCGACGCGACCTCATTGACTTTGCCCATCTCGAGTGGCACCACCGGCTCGGCGCTGGTGGGTCAGCAACCGTGTACCGCGGCACGCTGCATTCGTCGTTGGACGTGGCCATCAAGGTCTACACGCCGCAAGAAATTTCGGAAGCGGTCGTCGCAGAGTTCTCGCACGAAGTCGGCTTCTGGGCCGTGCTCCGGCACCCAAACATCGTCTCGTTCTATGGCCTCTGCGTGTGTCCGCCCATGATCTGCCTCGTCGCCGAGCTCTGCCGCGGCTCTCTCGACGACTTGCTAAGCTGTACGACGCCGTTATCCCCGCTCTCCCCGCTCGTCGAGCTGTGCTATATGCTCGATGCGGCCCGCGCTGTGGCGTATCTGCACTCGTTTTCACCGCCGCTTCTGCACCGCGACATCAAAGCTACCAATTACCTCCTCGACGCATCGAACAACCGCGTCAAGTTGTCGGATTTTGGTGAGTCGCGCGTCGCCGACGTCCAGCTCATGTCGGTGCGCGGCACTGTCGAGTACATGGCGCCCGAGATGATCGACGGCAAGCGCGGTGCCGCGTCGTACGCGACCGCCTCGGACGTCTTTAGTTTGAGCATGACGCTTTGGGACATTCTGCACCCGCGCCAGTGCAAGTACCCGCGCGGCACCAAGAACCACATGCACGTATTCACACTCGTTCTGGATGGCACCCGCCCGCCGCTGCGAGATACCCTCTCGCCGGTGCTCCGCCAACTGCTTGTCGCCGCGTGGGCACCCGCCGCGATCGATCGACCATCGGCCGCGTCCATGGTCACCATCCTCGCCTCTCTGCTCGAGGACGAGACGGCGCGCCTTGCGGTGACCCTCGAGCGCGAGACGACGCTTTCCGGTGCCGACCTCGTTGATGCCCTTGTCGATGCCACCCACCTTGGCACGCGCGATAAATTTGAAGCCGTCCGCGTCGGCAACGCGCTTCTCGAGACCGGACACCTCCACGAGGTCAAGCACGTGCGCGGCTTTCACAACTCGAGTCGGATACAGTACACGTGGCAGCCGGCGGTGGCACCGCGACGGTCGTCGCTGCTGTCGTTTGCGCTCGACGACGACGGCAGTTGCAAGTGTGCGCTGCACGGCCAAGGCCTTGGCATCGCGCGAAAGCGGGCAAAGCGCCGGCACCGACTGTACAAGAAACAACGGTCGGCGGTCGAGATGCTTTTGGATCCCGAGACGGACGACGAGACGATGATGTGGGGTGACGACGTCGACCTGCGTGACTCGCTGGCGCAGTAATCGCACCTCCGAGCACTTGCAGCACGGCAGATAAAGTATAGAATAACGGGCTAGCAAACCCAACTTGTTCCTATATCCTGTTGAAACAGTATCGGTGCACCTTGGGTGCCTCGCAGCTACAACAAGTAGCCATCTGCATTACTCGCCATGTGAGGTCAGGCCCGCGATTTCGAGAGACAACGTGGGCACACGCGGGGGCTGACGGACGAGACGTCGGTCGGCAGCAATCGTTCGGGCTGCTGACCACTGCGCCACCTCACCAACGCACAGTACGACAACGAACTGGGTGCGCGGTGATAACGCCTGTCGATGTAGTACTAGTCGTATGCGTACCCATCTATTTGGAACCTACCGTGGTACTGGACCCAACGCATTTTGCGGCGACTCGACCCACGCCAGCTCCTTGACCATACGAGTCTCAGTGCAGATCTTATTTATTTGCCTGCGTTGTCGACCATGGTGTTGGCGCCACGCGAGACCTTGGCGGCCGACTTGCTTCTCCGGTTCTTCGTCGACTAGCATTTATCGAAGAACGGAACGGCTCAGTTCAACCGGAGAAATCCGATACTGAGTATAATAGCACCAGTGCACGTACTGAGCCCGTGACTGGCCCGAATGCAAAGCAACAAGCTACCGATCGCTTCCGTCGCTGATCACTTTACCTTTTGCCATGCCAGTCGTGGAGCAGATCCTGCGACGTGTGCAAGCTGCGCCCACCATGTCCCCGGCGGCGTTGGCGGCGGCGGAGGCAGCGCGGGAAAAGATTCTCGACCAGTTCAAAGTACTTCAGATTTTGTATACGGTTGGGTATGGCACCATGTTCCTCTTGTCGGTCGCGTGTGTCGTGTACCTTCGGCGGCACCGCGCGACCGCGTACCTCGGCGACTCGGACGCCGCGCGCAAAATCCTTCTGCCGTCCTTCGAGCCGCTCATTTGGGTCATGTGCGCCGTCACTGGGTCGTACACGCTCTACTTTATCGCTGCGTCGATCGCCGACTACTCCAAGCCGATTTTCAACTCGATTTTTACCGAACTTTTGTACGAAGGCCGGCAGTTTATCGTGTTTTTGGTCATTACGTTCCTCTTTCAGCGGTCGGTGTCGCGGCCCGCGCTCACGCGCTCGATGGCGATTTCGTTTGTGCTCTGCGCGATTCCGCTCACGACCACGATTGTCTTCAACGTCATCGACGCCGCCCCGCTCACGGCCCACGTCGTCACGATCGTGTATCGGGTCAGCATCATTGCCTTTTTGATTGGGCTCTGCTTTTATCCGCTCGGCCGCGCCAACCAGCGCGCGCTGCGCGAATTTTGCGGCTTTCTCATCGGCTATTATGTGCTCGTCTTGATTTACGCAGAGCTCTTCTACGTCAACTTGACCACCGCGGGGATCGTTCTTGTCTTCTTCACGATCACGTGGGCGTCCACCGCTCCGTTCTTTATCTACCGCGTGCTCCGCGCCGACACGCAGCATTGGCGCGGCCTCGGCGAGCGCGCGTGCGACCTCCAAGCGCTCTTTCGGCAAAACCAGTGCATGCAGGAGATCGTGTCGGCGCAAGGTCTGCACATTTTACTCGAGATGCACCAGCGCGACATCATTGACTTTGCCCACCTCGAGCTCACGCGCAAGATCGGGCTCGGCGCGTCCGCCGACGTCTACCGCGGGCTCCTCCACTCCAAGATTCCGGTCGCGATCAAGGTCTACTCGCCGACGGAGATCACTGAGGCGACGATCGTCGACTTTTCCCAAGAGGCCGCGCTCTGCTCGGCGCTCACGCACCCGAATGTCGTGACGTTCTACGGCATGTGTGTGCTGCCGCCGACGATCTGCCTCGTCTCGGAGCTCTGCCGCGGGTCGCTCGACGACAAGCTTCACTTCGCCAAGCACGACTACACCGAGCCGCTCCTCTTGCAGCTCTGCTACATGCTCGACGCGTCCCGCGCGGTGGCCTACCTGCACTCGTTCTCGCCGCCGTTCATTCATCGCGACATCAAACCCGCGAATTTTCTCATGGATGCGACCAACCGCGTCAAGCTCACCGACTTTGGCGAGTCGCGTTCGATGGCGGTCAAGGTCGACGACGTCGCGACGCCGAGCGTGCGCTTGATGACGATGCGGGGGACCGCCGACTACATGGCGCCCGAGATTATCGACGGCCGGCAAGGCGAGGCCAGCTACAGCGAGATGGTCGACATCTACAGCCTCGCGGTCACGTTCTGGGACATCTTGCACCCCGGGCGTGAAAAATATGCAAGCAGTTCAAGCCACATGCACGTCTTCAAGACCGTGCTAGACGGCCAGCGCCCACCGCTCGACCCGGAGCTCCACCCGGTGTTTCGCGACCTCCTCGAGAGCGCGTGGTGCTCGGACCCCGAGTTTCGTCCGACCGCGAGTGCGGTGGTGAGCCTTCTGGAGGCGTTCCAAGAGGAGCTCTGCGGCACGGTGGCCCACGTGCTGTCGCGCCTCGTGCAGTACACGCCGCTGAGCAAGTCGCGCCGCGGCAAGCCCAACATGACGTTCACGGGCGAGGAGGTCGTGCGCTGCCTCCGCGAGCACGGGTACGCGTACGAAGACGAGGAGGCGGTCCGCGTCGGGAACGCGCTCATCGACGCCGGGTGCCTGCACCACGTGACGCACACCAAGGCGTTTGAGAACTCGGTCGCAAGCTACTTTTTCGACGAGGCGCAAATCGACCTCGTGCAGCCGTTGCCGCGCGACCAGCGCGAGACCAAGTCGTCCAACGACGAGAGCGTGCCCGTCATTTACGTGTCGCAAGCGTCGAGCTCCGAGCCGCACGAAGCGTCGTCCGAGCGGCTCTTGCACAACGGCAACTGCGGCTGCAAGAAGCTCGCGCAGGGCTTCGAAGCCAAGCCAAAGGCCCCGAAACACAAGCTCTTTCGACGCAACAAGAAGGTGCTCGACGCCACCAACCTCCTCACGGTGAACCTCCTCAACGACATGGCACCGGACGAGTTTACGGGCTTTGCGACCACGGAAACCATTTTATCCGAGCCAAATCGGAACGCAGGCGCCGTCTTGACTGCTTAGCAACACACATTTTCTCGCGTATTTCTGTACAAAACCGAATTAACATGTCTTTTTCTGTGTCATTTTCTCGCATTCATAGTCGCACAGTGGCGTGGAGAGCCAGGAGCGGCGAGAGTTCGAGTACGATGCATAGTCGGAGAACGTTGCGAGCTTCTAGCCAAAGTTGAAGTTTCTTGGGTATCTGTCAAGTCGGCTGTCCCACGCATTACGAGGTTGGCATAGCGGCGGGCAGCGATCGCTCGCTCCACGAACATGGCATGATCATTGTGATATTTCTACCTGGACGACACCCGATACGAGATAAACGAGACCGCAGCGACGGTGGACGAGGACATCTGACGTGCCTTCTAGAACCTCCAGCTCCAAGCCGCCGTGTCGTATACACTCATGCTGCTGCTGTCGGGCGGCCTCCTTGTTTACTTGCGGCTAGCGCGTACGCTGGCGACATCCATGCGTCGCGCAAGGTCATCTTGCCGACGTTCGAGCCGCTTCTCTGGACGCTGTGCCTCGCTTTGAGCCTCTACGCCGGCAGTCTCTGGGCCACGGTGGTGCTCGACCTTGCTTTCGACCTCTCGCATGCACGCGGCGGTTGTCTTTGCCGGTCGCCAGTTTATCTTTGTGTTGCTCCTCCGTACTTTTACCAGCGCAGCGTGACGGTCCAAGCCCTCGCACGCGCGATCGCGATCGCCTTGACGCTGTCGCTGCTTCCTGTCGCCATTGCGCTGCTCGGTGGCGCCGGCGACCCCGTCGTGTGTGCGTTGCCAATGGTTTTGCGTGGGGCATCTCGATCGCGGACGTGTGCATGTTGCCGTATCCGCGGTCGCGGGCGTCGGCGCGCAGTCTCCGCGCCTTTTGCGCCTACCGGCTCGTGGTCCAGCTGCTCGAGTACACGTACGAAGGACTATTGTATGCGAATATGAACCGGTACGTTGAGGTGGCGACGACGCTCGTCATTGTCGCCGCACCTCGATACGCTCGCCCCGCTCTTTGCGTGGGCACTTCTGCGCGCCGACACGGAGCACTGGCGTGGACTTGGTCAGCGCGCGCTCCTCCAGCACCACAGCCTTTGGATTCTAGAAATCACGTCTGCCCACGCCTCCAAGTGCTTGTCGAGATGCACCGGAAACACATCATTGACTTTGCACAGCTCGCGATCCAGGGACGCATTGGTGCCGGCGTCAGCGCTGTCGTGTACCGCGGCAAGCTCCGCACCAAGCTCGACGTCGCCATCAAGGTCTACGCACCGACGAGATTTTGGCGGGCTTCTCCACCGAGGCCGCGCTCGCGCATCCCAACATTATCTCGTTTCATGGTATGTGCGTGTGCCCTCCGACGATTTGCCTCGTCTTTGAGCTTTGCCGCGGGAGCGTCGCCGACTACTTGGCACTGCCGGCCGCGCCGCTACAGCAAAGTGGGTTGGACCTTTGTCTTCTCTTGGACACGGCCCGCGCGGTGGCCTACCTCCACTCGTTCTCACCGCATTTTCTGCACCGCGATATCAAGCCGGATATTTACTCGTGGACGCCAACGGCATGGTCAACCTCGCCAACTTTGGGGCGTCCCGCGCCGGTGCCATGGAGCCTCCAGGTGGTGCCCGCCGCATGACGGTGCAGGGCACGGTCGACTACATGGCGCCCGAAGTCATCAACGGCAAGAGCGGCTTTGCCACGTACACGGAAGCGGTCGACGTGTTCAGCCTCGGCATCACCATGTGGGACATTCTGCACCGCGGAATCGAGCGATACCCGGGCTTGCACGACAACCACTTGCGCGTGCTCGACCGGGTGCTGCTCGGCGACCGTCCCACGGTGCGCACCGACGTCCACCCACGGTTCGCACAGTTTCTGGACGCCGCGTGGCGCGCCGAGCCCGAGCTTCGCCCCACGGCCGCTACAATCGTCGACGTCCTCGAGGCAATTCATGTCGAGGCGCTTGGACCCGTCGCGCTCGACCTCTCGCGCGCTGCGATGTTTCTCCAAGGGCGAGGCAACGACCACGTGATAGAAGGTTGTTGCGTGCATGCTCAACATGGAGTGGGGACGCGACGCCTCCGAAGCCATTCGCCTCGGGACATCGCTCATGGACGCGGGGTTCCTGCACCACGCGTCGAGCTTGTACTGTTTCGAGACTGCAGTCACGCGCCATTTGTCGAGACTGGTCACATCGAGTCGCCTGCAAGAAGCTTGACAGCACCGTCCGAGGTGCGCAGTTGCAGCTGTAGACTCCTCGCCCAAGGCCTCAAGGCGACCAAGCACCTTCAAACGGCGGTGGCCTCTTTACGATCCAGGACGAGCCGCTTTCGCTCCAACTGCTCCGCCGACGAAGTCATGTTGACAAGCAACAGCAGTGTTTCGTGATAACAAGGTATACACTGTGTTATGGTATGCAGTACGCAGCTCTTGTCTTGGGTAGTTAACGGAGAAGCCGTTTGAGCTGCTCGTCAATGTCGTCGAGGTTGTGCGCATACGAGATGGGCATCGAGGTGCACGGGAGCTTGTTGAACATTTGCGAGAGCTCGGATTGGCATTGCGCAAAGACGTATTCGCGCAGCGGCAGAAACTTGGTCACGCGCGGCAAGGCCCACCCTGGGTACACGGTCTCAAACTCCGTGTACGGTCGGTTGCCGCTCGTAAACACCATGGTGCAGTTGTCGACCACGCACGTCGCACAACTCGCTGCCAAAAGTTCGCGCGTATCAACGTCCCAAACACCGACGAGACCCTCGGGCTGATGGTACGTGTTGTGAAGCGCGTTGTCTTTCGTCGAGGTATGTCCCAGTGCTTTGGTGCACGGACAGTGGCAGCGCGGGCACGGTGCCCCACAGCGTGGCATGATGCCGTCCACGGCCCCATACGCTTCGTTTTGAATGACTCCAACGACAGCCTTGGTCATCGTCGAGCTCCACTCCGACGACGGCCGCAGCTGTGAGGCCATCGCACCAATGCGCCGAAGGAGATCGAGCGGCACACTGATTGCATCCTGGTCCGTCGTGAGAGCAAATGCCGAAGGCCCTTGGTCGTCGCAGTTCATGACATTGCCCGCGACGGCAGGCAGACTCTCGATGAGCGCGCTGGTGCCGCTGCACTTGAGGCGACTCTGGAGCGACAAACGCAGCGCATGTACAAAGCACTTGGTGCGCTCCGAGGTGGCGTGAGTTGCCGCGTCGGCGGCTGCCGCGATACTTTCCTCAATGTCCCGCACAAGCTTCTTGCTGACGTGCACGTAGCACTTTTGGACCTCTTTGCGCACAAGGGCGCTCGTCACATCTGCAGCGTGCGCGGTCGGTTCGTCGATGAGGCTCAGCACCTTGCGCATCTTCTTCTTGCGCAAGTACTGAAGCAGATCGGTGTCCAAGGCAGCTTGCATCGCGTCGGCGGCGCGCACCCATCGAGCGTGCTTGAGCGACGATGCCACCACGCTCACGACCTCTTCTTCAAACGTCTTGGTCAAGTTGAGACCCAGCCACTCGTTCAGCGTCGTCGAGAGCAGCTGCGCCGCCTTTTGGCCATCGCACACGTTCTGCGCGAAGAGCAGCATGCTTGCTTTACACGCCGCAAACTTGGCGACGACGCTGTTGGCCTCGTCCCAGCGCCGTTGGCGCAACTGCAGCTCGCTTGTGAGCATCGACGTGAGCGCGCGGAGACCAGCCTTGTGCTGGGACGGCGTTAGCTGCTTGGACGCCAAAAGACGCTGCACGTCGCGCGCACACGTTAGCGCTACGTCGTCCGAGTAGCGTTCGACATCGGCGAGGAGACTGCCCACAAGGTCACAGACAGCGTCCGTCAGCTCCGTGTCCCGCGAAGTCGTGTTTCGCGACAGCACCACGTTCGAGAATGTTCGCGCGGCCTTGCCTACCAGCTTGGCCGGCGACCAGCCATCGGTGTCGTCACTGCTCAGCCGCGCGAGCTCGTCCGGCGTAAAGACATGGTTGTTGTGAATGACAGCGTGCACGAGCTTGGGGACTTGAGGCGCAAACGCGGGGTTCTGTAGGCGAGCGTCGCTTAGGATTTCGTTGAAGATGGCGTCGAACGCCTGCATCGTCGCTTCGGGGCCAAAACTTGTGTTGTGGTCGACGATTTTTGCTTGGATTTTTTCCTTGTACACCTTGGTGATGGCGTCGTACTCAAAGAGGTGTTGGACCTTGGACTGGACAAGGCGCGCCGAGTGCGCCGCTTGGCGCTGCTTCTTGTCCGTCCACATGTCTTGCATTGTCGTCGCCCACTTGGCAAACGCATCTTGGTTCAGCGACGTCGCGACGACTGCCTCGAGCGTCGCCACGTGCGACTCCACGTGGTGCTCCAAAAGCGTCTCGTACTTGCGACGGTTGCTCGCGTCGAGCGTCTTTTCAGCCGCGCTGTCGGCGCTCATCGTCTGCAGCACATTGTCAAAGGCGTCGCTGTAGATCTTGGCGAGCTCTTGCGTGTGCTCTGTCATCATCTGCACAAGCCGATCGTACACGACGCGCTCGTGTGCCGACGCAAAGTCGAGCTCAAAATTGGCGCTTTGGAGACACGTCCATACAAGGTCCAAGCTCTCGCTGAGCTCGGAAATCGTGCGTGCCTGCCACTGGCTTTCAATGGCGCGGGCGTGCATGTGGTCACGGAACCGAACGAGGCGCTCGCCAAAGTCGGGCAGCGGCACGTCGTTTGGCGGCGTCGTTTGGCCTTGCGTCATGCCGAGGAATCGGACGTCGCTGCCTGCCTCGTCGTTCATGTCGGCGCGAAAGTCGCGCAAAAAAGTGGCCGTCTCGGTCTGCCGCACGGCCGCAATCTGCTTGGCGCTGCTGCGAAGGCTGTCGAGGAGCGCCCGGAGACTCGACGCCATGTTGCTCGTCTGCGACACGTCAATCTGGTTGAACGCAAAGTAGAGCTTGGACATAAGATGACCGCCCGAAGCCGCCGCCAGCTCCGAGTTGGCAAACACCGAGAGCACGATCGGCAGCACGTCGTTGATCGTGTTGGTCGCTTCGCCTTTCGTCAAGATGATGGTCGCGTCCGCCGGCAAGATGGCCACGGAGGCCATGCGGTTGTCGCGCCAGACCGTGCCTTCCACACCAACGTACTCGGGCGACTGGATGCCTTCGGTGTCGAGGAGCAAGACGTAGTCGTAGTCGTCGCAGTTGTTGCAAGCGAGCAGCTGGAGGTTCACACCGCGCGTGCACCGCGCAACGCTCGTCCGAAGGCGAACACCGAACATCGAGTTGAGCAGCGTCGACTTGCCCGAGGACTGGACGCCCATGACCGAGAGCACAAAGACGCGAGCGCCTGTCGGCAGCGTATCGTCCAGAGAGCGCAACACGGCGCGGATCCACTTGTCGTTGACCATGCCGGCGTCGCCGTCCATGAGCTCGAGCGGGAAGCCGTCGAGAAGATGCTGCACGGCGAGCTGCGGTAATATCGCGTACGCTTCTTGGTTAGCCGTATAGATGTGCGAGAGCTCGCGCCAGAGATGCTCGAGGCCCGTGACCATGTTGCTCCACTTTACGAGAGCCGACGCATACGCCGAGCGCGTCGCCTCGTTGTCGACTTCGCTGCAGGCGGCAAAGGCTTGGCCACACTCTGCCTGCGCCGTCGCAGCCACGGCGTTGCAGCACTCGGCGAGCCGACGTTCAAGGTCAATGACAAGCATCTCGCGCACTGCCGCTGACGGATGCTCAAGAATCCGCTGAAAGTAGACGAGCAACGGAGCACGAGCGACGTTGCGAACGAGCTTTTTGTGCTCGGCTTCGCTTCTCTGGATCTTCTGCCGCAGCACTTCTTGGCTAGGCGGGTTTGTCTCGCGCTGGAGTTCGATGCGCAGCGCCGACTCGTACGCAAAGCGCTGCTGGAGCTGCAGAACGTCCGTGCGGAGCGTCGCAAAGTCCGTCGCCGCCAAAATGTTCTCAGTGTGTTGCGGTAGGCGAGCGTCCGACTTTACGTCGTATGGCAGCGGCAGATTGTCGACGGTACATCGCGTCGGTGGCGTCTCGGCCTCGTCGTCCTCGAGGATGTACGCGGTGATGCGCTCGTACGAAGAGCTCATGGGACTCGCGAGCCCCACTGTCAGAACCTTGCCATCGTCGCCGAGAACTTGGTCGTCTTCGTCGTCTTCTGCGAGGCGCCAGTGCAACACCGTGCCTTGGGGCAGCGTCGTCCGCGCTGGCGCAGCCCCCGTGTCGATCACCAACACGTCGGCAAACTGCGCAATGAACGACTCCAAGAGCGTGTAGTCGCCAATGACGTGCAGCACCATGACCGTAGTGTACACGGTGTTCTCTTCGACAAAGCCCCAGCCGAGCTCGGC